TATCCTACACTACGGACGCCCTAGTGTATGCACAGTCCTTGTGATGCTTACCCCTCGTTCCGGCACTAGTACATCCGGTGCGATTCGGCTAGCTTTCGACCTCCTCCCCCTGGCCTCAAGTTTAATTACGAGCGTTCGAAAAAGAAAATTGCGTTGCGCGACCATTTGACACACTGCTTCGTGATGCACGGGCATGCGTGAGATTCTGGCAAAGCTTTTAAAAGAGCACGGCCTTTGTTCCTGCACAGTCTCATCCAAATGGCTCCTTTCGCAGTCAATAGCCAAAAGGCGTTTGAACAAAGGACAAGCAACTACTTTGCAGAAGGCCGGTGTAACGAAGCGACCCGTGGCCAAGGAGTTGCAGAGGAGCCATAAGATAGCACCATTAGGCGGTGGCAATAGCTGCGAATCATTCAACAGCAACGAGAATGCAGCTGCAGCGCACGGGTCACGCTGGGATCAACGCAGTGCTCCCTCATGCGTGGCACCGAGCTGAAAGAGCTGATCAGTTGGGCAATCCCAAAGAGGTTTTGCTCACCCGGGACAACGGACAAATCACTGGCACACCTTTGAACATGTGAATCCCATGAACGCCGTTTGCGAGAGGCGCGTTGTTTTGGTGGTGTTTGGCTGCAATGATAGGGTGGAACAAGAATGAGCAAAAGACAATAACAATATAACAATGAGTTCTGAGCAAAGCAACCAACAGGCACAAATTTCAGACCCTTTTTCCAAATGCATCAGTTTTTGGATGACGTGCATTGAAGCCACTGCATGTGCGAATTTGAACCACGAGCCCACAGAGTTAGAGCTGCAAGGCGTGGCAACTGAGTGCCAAGATCCATTTGGAGAAGCATCTTGGAGAACGCCAGTCGATGACCCACTCAACCAGATTCAACATCGCTCGCCAAATGTTCAATAGCTCGTCAGTGGAGGAGGTCACTCTTTCAGTTCCATCATATGTAGGAACATCGTACCTCAGCCAGGGAGTCGTGAGAAGCCACTTATTGAAGAGCCATGTCTCTGGACTGGCCATTGAGTTCTTCTACGTAGGTAGCCAGCTAGTAACAAGGGCAAGGGCAGTACTACGTAGGTAGCCAGAAGCTAGTAGAGCCTTCCTCACACAAAGCTGGCCAAGACACCGAGGAACGAACTCTCGAAGGCTGGCTGGCTGTGGGGATGGTGCTGGCCGTCACAAAAGCATACACGCACCGTTTGCCGTTTGCCATTGTTGCTGGATGTAGAAACTTGGTAAGAATCAAAGAGGCATTCACGACTTGGAGAACATGCCAGAATGGCCAAATTGGCCAGGGGTTGCAATTGCTGCGTACAGAATAATAACAACTTCTGTTTGCAACCATCGTTCACATGTTCTCGCCTGGATGTGACACTGGCTTGCAGGCACTTCCTGCAGCAGAGAGGAGCGCCAGAGGCTTCCAAGCCGTTGGAGACCGCCGGGGCCGCGCACAGCTGGCAGCGATGTTGGCTGAAATTCAGCGCCTGGACTGACAGGAATCACAAGGGGAAGATTCGGTTTTGCTTTATTTAGCTGAGGCATGCTGAGATGTTCCTAATGGAAAAGTGTCCTTGAAAGGAATTGAGGGAACCCCTTATAGGTGGTCGAGCTGCACTTCCCGAAGGCGAGTGTAGGTGGTTCCTCCCGAAAAAGGGGAACAGGCCAGCGTATGCCACGATCCCAGCAACGATACACTCGTATCGCTTGATTATCGCATTGATGTGAAACTGGGTACGTTCACACATGCCAACCCCCGCGGGACAGATTCATTACTGTAGTAACGGTGATGTTAGATGTTATGTTTGTGGGGCGCTTCGAGGGCGGTGGTGCTTTGATCATCAACTACTTCCTTGATGAATGGAAGAAAGCTCAGAATGGATGGAAGAAAGCTCAGAACCACGATCATGTGCAATTGAATTCAATGCCTCTGACGTGGATAGCCGGGCACATGACAATGCTTCAGGTTGGCCTGTTGGTTTGCTTGCGGGATGTTGTTGTTTTGTGACCCACTGTGGGTTCAATTCTTGCACCTCCCAAGACGTTTTGGGCTGGAAAGATCGTGTTCTGCTGGCAGGCAATTGTACACGAATTGGACGCTCAGGGCATCCCAGTGCTTCTAGACACCCATGATCTTTGTTTCGGGGGCCACGTGGTCGCCCCCGCGCAACCGCGCAACCTTCGAGGCGGAAACCGAAGCGAACGGACCGAGGTTCTCCCTGTGTGGTCTTGAGAAGGCGGACGGAAATCTGCACGAAGCCCTCCGCGCGGCGAAGGACCGGACCTGACGCGATCGGCGAAGGACCTGAGGCGAGTCTGACGAGAAGAGCATCGATTCGTTGGGTGTGACAGGGCGATCGACGTGAAACCTGAGTGGTGGAAAGAATGCTGAAAAAGACCCATACATAGCATTCCATTCAGCCATATTCAACAAACTTCGAAGGAAACTTGGAGCACGCCGGTTTGGTTAGAAATGTGTTTAAGGATGTTTAAGGTAAGCTGGCCTCAAAGCACTCGCACGCAAGCGCGGTGAAACGCCTTGCCGTCTCTCCAGAAACCACCAAAGGTATCCAAAGGTTGAACCCTATGTTGGGGGCATTGACTGCATGATCCTTGTTTCCGCTTTGGAACCAAGTCTTGCACAAGAATGTGC